CGGTGAAATCAAAATTAATTTTGATATATCTCGTGTTAGGGATGGAATATGTTCTGTCACTGTCATTGCTAGAGACCACTTGGGTGAATTCTTGGATTTTAATTTAAAGGTTTTTCTCTTGGCACTTCTTCTATAAATGTGGCAAAAGCTGTTGAATTTTAATCTCATTAGAGATTAAATTCAATGGAATTTGATTAATCAATTACATGGAAAACACACTTGCACACATGTTTTGAAAAAATAGTTTTCTCTTACTAAAACCAGTTTTCAACTTGTCCCAAAATATACAAAATTTGTTTCGAATTTTTAAATATGAGATTATTTTCACTCCTTAAAAATAAAGAGGAGAGTATGGATATTACTACCGTGCAACGCATATGAAGGGTGGTTTTGACTTTTGATGCAAGGCCGACCGTTGAAGCAAGTTTAGAGAGGCTTTGACTTTCCGTGACCCCGTATTTCCAATAAAGGCTTGGGGAGCTTGGGAAGCCCATAATCTGGCCCTCAACTTCAGCAACCTACCAATTACGATTAAGGGGGACTTGAAAATTGTTATTTACAAAGGGCCGATCTCTCATCCTTGAAATCTTAAAAAACATTATTTCAGGATGCTTGCAAATGAAGGAGACGATGGATGGTGGTGCAACCTATAGGCACATGTTTAGAGAGGCGAACCAGGCAAGAGGATTGGCTTGCTCAGAGAGTGTTGTCTTCTCGATCCTAATGGTTTTGTTTCCTTTAGTTATTTAGTTATTGTAGTCTTCCTAAATACCTTTTTGTTTGAATGATATAGGTGTTTGGTGTGTGAAATTTTGCTTTTTAAGACAAAAAAACAACTGCCATTTCAGCAAATGGGTATTGTTTTTGCTGATATGGTTCTCATATATACTGACAAATGCTCCCTCCAAATTGCAAGCTGTGCTTTAAAAATCAACACGGATGTCCAACTGGAAAGCTGTAAGAGGTTGTTCAGCAGTTTAGTCTACACTAAACGTAGAAAAATCAGGACTGAGTCCCAGTCACGAGTTCTTCGATTCAACTGTGTGGTTTGGAAGCTTTGCCCTCAAAATGACCTTAGTCTGCACTTTAGCATTGGTATAAGCCTGTAATTCATATAGTTCTTTTTATAGCCATCATTACTCAACAATGTTTTAAAAATTGACCCAACAGAAACCTCAAAAACAAAAAGAAAAGCTTTTCACCACCACCCAATAAGTGTATGTGTAGCACCCAACTTCACAAGCTGACTTTTGGGATTTGGCATATAACTCAAAACTCATCTTCCAAGTATAAACCCACCTGTTGGTCAGTTCTGATGCTCCTAACGTTTGGTAGCAGTCTATTATGGCCTCAAGATCAACATCAGGGACCTATGGAAATCGGACTTGCTACTCACAGCGCCTCACATCAATTTTAATGGCATATAAATGAGGAAAAATTTCCAATTAATACCTTGTATTTTAGGCATAATGCTATTTTGGTCTCCGACCTTTAAAATATATGAGACAATTCAGTATTAACTTTCAAAATGTGTCAATTCAGTACCTATTGTTAATAAGCTGTTAATCAACCGTTACATTCTTTTAAAAAGACGCAAATGCCCTTTGAGTGTGACCTAATTTTCTTTATCAACCATCCAAACATTGACAAAAAAATTAACGGTCATAAATCCTTGCCTCTTTTTATTCAAGAAAGTTCTAGAATACCTACTGAGATGTGGTCCCAACTTTCTTGAATAGAAGAAGCAAGGATTTGGGATTGTTAATTTTTTGTCAACGTTTGAATGGTTGATAAAGAAAATTATATGACACTCAAAGGGCATTTGTGTCTTTTTCAAATACCACATAACAGCTTGTTAACAATTCATTAACAGTAGGTACTGGATTGACAAGTTTTAACAGTTCGGGTACTAAATTGTCACATTTTAAAGTTTGGGGACCAAAGTAGAGGGTACTAATCGGGAACTTTCCCTATAAATTAACCATTACATCTTTCCATGAATAATAACATATAAATATGGGAGATGTTCCTAACTCACTGCTAAAAATATTATGATGTTGGTGTGAGGTACACTCTATAAAGAGAAAATCCAGAATCCCAGCTTCAGCCAAATCTAGCTATAATGAATTCACATCTATGCCCCACAGGCGCCCCACATGCACATCTGGGTGTGCATTGGAAACTTCTCCCATACTTGTTATTGAGAGATGTTCCCAATGCACGGTTTAGATGTGCTGTGGGGTGCACCCTGTGGGGTGACAATGTAATCTCATCCATATTGCCAGAAAGACATGATATCGATTAGGCTTTGACCGATGAAAATCCACCTGGTTAATTCCGATGATTGGTTGTAAGCTTTTCAAAATATCATGTCTTTCTGGCATCATTCGACTTTGATATGAAAAAGATATGGTATCTGAAGAACTTCTGACCAATCAACTGGAATCATAACGTGGTAGCCAATCAAGTGTTATTTATCAAAATTCATAGGTGGATTTTGATTGGTCAAAACTCTTCCCATACCATATCTTTTCTACATCATAGATTTTCCCCATAACCTAACCCCAAAACAATACAAACAAGAAAAGGGAAATAATGACTTGAAGTCTTGAACAGTCAGTACAAAATGAGAAGAAAAAAAAAAAAAAAAACAGACAAACAAATAAGCTTTTTGCCCAAAAGGGGAATAAATAGGAACTATTACTTTGATAAAACACGAAAAGAAAACCAGAGAAAATGCCTACAAAGCATAAACTATTAACATTGAAATCATTTTGTTTCGACAAAAACAATGCTATTAAATTTTTAAATGACCAAAGCTGGAGTCTGACTAGAGCTGCAACTTGAGAGGACTGAACCGGAAAAGAGTCAACACAGACCCAACCATACATGTGAAACGTAGGACCACGCCCAACCCGACCTAAACCCAGACTCTTTTGCACATAAATCGGGATGGGCTTGGTAAAGGCATAATTATTGGGCCAGTATATACAATGATATTAGTACGTTAAAAAAAGAATTCGCTTTAGCATGATTAACTAAATGGTCATTTTCTGTAGAGAGATCCAAGGTTCAAAGACAAGTTTTGACATTAAATTTATAATTTATGAATATAAGTCATGCCTACATAAGGCCAGATCTGGGTAACACTCAAGCTATATCCAATGCACCAGCCCAGGAATTTACCTGGCTCAAGTTTTAAATACAAAGGCCCATCCCAAATCCCAGAATTTGAATCCATGCCCAGAAATAGTTCTGGTTGAGTCAGGCAAGGATCGATTTAGCCCACCCATGCAACCCTAGGTCTCAGGACTCCAGAACTATCCCGTTTGCCAGGGGCTTCAAGCTGCGTTGACCGAGTAAATGGAGAAAAATAAAGTGTTATTACATTTAAAAGGATAATGGAAAAAATAATTCTAAATGATAACAAATAATCATAGATTTCAATCAATGGTGGCCTAAGTAATAACCACCATAGGCATTTTAAATTACAGAACAATACTTGAACACCGGAAGGTGCTAAGTGGCTCAGTAAGTAAGGTCTCTAGCTGCCCAGGTTGGTTTCGTGGTTTGGATAAACAAGACCTATCAACTAGGGGTGGTCATGAGCTGAGATTTTTACAAGCTATTCAAAATCGGTTCGTGAAAATTTTGATTCGATTTGGTCTAAACTGAGCTTCGAGCCAAACTTGAGGCACGCTCTCCGGGGAGCAAATCCAAATTCAGGGGAATGGGCTATTCATTTATGATAATAGTGAAGGCTTTCAGCTTTCCCTCGAAGACAAAATTGTATAAAATGTATATCAAATAAACACCATCAAATACCAAACATCCCCCAAGTTGTTCCATATCGTAAGAATTTAACAAATGGTCACTCATCCATATGATTCATCAGACCTTTTAGCCCTTCCTATTATGTAGTATCCAATTAAACAATTCATCATATCCTTTCCTACTGTTCATCTGACTAGAAAGCACATGCTTAATGCAGGGACTAGAGGGACAAACTGGTTTTATCTAAGAATCCATTTACCAAAAAAAAAATCCTAAGCATCCATTTACTTGGTCAGGAAGGATATGCAGTCCTAATAGGCCCTAGATTTTAGCTCTTAAACCCCCGAACAGGGGTGAACAAAAAAACCGACCGGTTTTTTCTTGATACAAAGATCACTGAGAGGTTCTGAAATTGCATCTGTGTTACAAAATAATACAGGTGACTTAAAAAACATGTTAGCGCATTTAGTGACCTGAAATTGAACCTCAAGTTTCTTGTTCGGATATCTCCCCATGACCGCACCTCACAAGCACCCCACCGCACATCTCGGCGTGCAGGAACATCCCCCGTAAATGTCATGGGGACTTCCAAATTAATGCAAGGTTGACATGAACTGTGGGGAGTCTGAGGCGCACCACAATAAATAACGATCATCAGTTTAATTTGCACCTATGGGCTATTGTTATCTATTTCAAGTTGCTTATATACGAATTAGCAACTTAGCATATTTACTCTTTTCCAATTACTACTGGTGGCCCTAGGTCCTCAATTATTACACAGTCTTCAGCACATTAAGCTGAGTTTGGAATTCATGTAAACGATGTAAATTCCGGTTCAGGGTAAATTTGCACTCTACTTCACTTTTGCATGTATTTGACAATATTACATTTATGCATTGACAAATGACAGCAATGTATATTTTCATTGATACTAAGATGTAAAAATACATAAATAAAAAAGAAATAAATTTGCATTCAAGTGGGCTTGTGATCAAAAAAAGGCATGCTTTATTGGAATTCATGTTTACATCCATTACAGCTAAAAGTCTGGTAAGAATGTAAATTTGTCAGTGCAAAACTAACCCAATTTTGCAATTTATATGAACCATTTTACACTCTACATATTTGCATTCACACTTATTTGCATTGTTTTCAAACACAGCTTTAGAGATGAAACATCAAAATAGAGGAAAATAAAAAAAAAAGTTAATAAGAGGAAATGTGTAAACAAAACAAATACAAGGGTCAATGTAATGGAAAATAATGTCTCCAACCACCAGAAATGACAGTATGAATAAGTTAACAACCAAAGTACAAAACTATGTAGAAAAAAAAAATTGAAAATTTTCCATGTACAACAAGAATATTCACATTACAAGTATGAGGGAGAAATTTCCATGCAGAATGAGCTATCATTCAGTTTTCCTTTTCTCATAACCAGGGACAGCTTGCTAAACCTAAATGACCGCATTTAGACTCACCAGGAAGGCATACAGCATCGGTTATGGAAGCCACTCTTAAGTTGCTCAACATGGCAGACTGAACCTTCAAATCCACAAACAGCTAGATCCTGGATTATAGTTTTGTGAAAAGTGCAAAAGATGTTTTATCTAAAGAATTACACCAAGTCTTCTGGCAACCAGCCCAACCAAACTTATAATAATCAAGGAAAAAGTAGGAAGAGATAAAACAACCATGAAGGCATTGGGTTTGGTATGAGCTACGGTTACCCTCAAGGATAATGCATCTGCTGCTATAAAAATTAGTCCACCTCAATCGCCCATGAAGAAGGGTCCAGAAAAACTCTCCATAACATCAAACTGCATGCTCTCTGATGGCTTCCAGTGACGCTTCCGCTGGTTTATAAACCAATTGTTTATTTGTTTCTGGTCAAGGCCCGTCAATTCAGCTAGCGCTAACTTATCAGCTTCCTGAACAATTAGGAATTGCAGAATAAGGCCATATATATCTTCATGAAAGAGTGCAATGTTTATGCACTTCAGTCTATAAATTTAGCAGAATATTTACTCCAGCTGGAGATTTGCGAAAAAATATATCCAGATCTTGGGAAAAAATACAACAATTTAATTAAAATAAAATGTGAAAAATAAATCATTATAGATAAGTAATTCAGCTTGTACTAAATACAAGAAACCAAACAAATTTAGCTTGTGTTCAATAACAACTAGAATCTGTAAAAGACATATTGCACAACCACAAAAGAAAACCTACAATGATAATCTAAAACCTCTACATGGAGATGGCGCTAAAATGGTAAATCTGAACCTTGTATATAACTTTTACCGTTGGATATGGCCATTTGTAGTGAATATTCCACCAGTCAAGTAGTGTTTGCCTTGCTTCCTTCGGTAGCTTTCCCTTCTTTTTTTTCTTAGAAAATTCATGCTTCAGACTACTAATATATCCACTATATTTACGTAAGAGCCTGTCCTTAAGCTCTCGTTCTTCATCTCTTGGTTGAACCTCTTGGGCATCAATCTCTCCTCCACTAAAATCATCCTCAGATGATCCAGCAGCTTCATCTGACCAGGATACCAAGCATAAGCAATCAGAACAACCCCCGCAAATCCATTTTAGGAAGATATAAAACTTATCAAAGAAAAATGATTTCAAACTTGACAGCAAAATATATAGAGAATAAAAAACAGGAGAAATGCATATGAAAAAGAAAAATTACAAATCCTTGTAAACATTTAAAAGAACATCACTAACAAACATCATGACCAAGGTGAAACATCGCTAGGGAAAATGGCAAAACCAAGCTGACCATGCATACGGATGTATTAAGGAATCCATGAAGACCATAGCCATTCCTCCAAAAGTTAATTGAGAATAAAGTTAACAGAACTAGCAAAGTAAAATGCGGAAGCATCTTGTATAAATAATGCTGGAGATGTTTTCATACAAGTCACCAAAGAATACAACCAAACTTAACACTAGAAGTGAGTGGGGGTGGGGGAAGGCTTATCAGTAAACCCAAACTGGGCGAATTTTAATATCTAACCACAATTTCATGCTTAGTCAAATCAGCAAGACAATAGTAACAGAAAACAAGATAATATCCTTAACAAAAAATTTGTCATGGTAAAAAACATCACCAGAGTTTAAAACTTATGGGTAATCAAGTTCACATAAAGTAAAATCATAAACCTGGCATTTGCCACCACATTTCAGAATTATACAATGACAAAAATAATGCAGATTAAAGAGATAATACACATGCAAAACTGCAAAGCACAAGTTTAATAGATCATGGCTTGCATTCCAAGTAATCTGTTACAAGCAATACAGGGTCAATGGCCCCAGTATAACAAGTGAAATCTGACGGTACAAAATTTATATAGGGGTACTTTCAGTACTTGATTTGCAACAAATATTCCCAGTTATATTCAAATTAGAAAATCATAGAAAAACCTAGTTCAGTGATAAAACCTATCTTCCATCGTGGGGGTATAATTGGTAAATTGAAAATAATAAATATTTGCATATCTATGAAGATGGGCCCAAATTGCTGAACCACATTAAATCTTGTATGCACTTTGTGACTGCATTTCCTTTCATGTTTTCTTGGTTTCTAGAACAACAATGTTGCTAAATTGATACAAAGAGATGGATATGCCTGTCTTAAACTCAGTATTCACTATCAATTGCCTTTTACATTGAGCAATGTGCAAGAATTTAAAAAAAAAAAAAAAAAAAAAAAAAAACAACAACAACAGATTTGTACTCTGCAGAAGCATTTCTTATTATATTCCTTATGCTGAACAATGTAAAGGAGAACCTAATTTACAAAATTCAAGGAAAAAAACACAGTTTGCTAGCAAAGCTGCTGGAATCCACTTTAGGGAGAAAAGCCAACACTAAAGTGGCATTTGGATGCCTGAACTCTGAAATCTCTGTAAGTCTAATCAGATCTTATAGGGAGAAGAGTAGCCATTGCGGTTCTCTTTATATGTAAACATGACTACGAGGGGTATTCTTGTCATTGTCAAAGTTTTAAAATACTTAAAAAGTTAACACTGATGAGCACCACTACAAAAAAAAGTGATAAGTTTGCAACCTAACCACTTATAAATCAGAGCAAAATTTCAGAAATAAACATGCCTTTCAAAGGTGTAACCAAACACATCTATGGCAATCAGAAAAAGAATAATGTAGAATTCAGGTAGGTGGCAGGTCAGATACACTACTACGCAAGCCAGCCAGAAGTTGGTGATATCAACATCACAAGGATTTTTCCCCAAATAGTGGGGATTAGGCTGAGTTGAGTAGAGTTGCAAAAACTGACTTTCCATTTAAGGGATTAAGGCCCAAGAATGAGTGAATAGTGCTCACAAAGATAACCATTGCCCAATGTTGGTCCCAGCTATCTGGGGCCTTGGGAGGGGTAGACTGGACACAGTCCTACCTTTGGAGTTTTTTTTTTTTTTATTTTATTATTATTTGACAGAAAGCAGTCACTCTAACACTCAAGCACATTTAACTCACGATAAGAGTACTGAATAGGGAGGGTATAAAAGCATATTTAACTCACGATGATTTGGAAGGGCAAGAAAACAAAATAATTCGTATAAATTTGCGTCAATAAACATAAAATTTATCATGCTTTTTCTTAATATAAACCAACTAAGAGCAAATGATGAGTCAATCCCCAATAAACATAAGACCAACGCCGCCAGGATGGTTACATGTAACATATAAGGGTTTCTGTCAGTCATATCTCAATGGACTTCATTGCTGGATTAAACAGCATGAATGAACCATGGGACATTAAAGAGGTAAAACCATACAGAACAAGCTAGGATAGGAGTAGGGTGAGCCAAAACAAAAGGTACTCAAAATGGTCCTTACCAGGTCAACAAAATTCGTAGGCAAGTGAAAGAAATACATTCCAGGAGTATTAAATTACAAGAAATGCAATTGCAAGGTCAAATAAACTTCATATTCAATAATCACAAAAGCTGCCACTAAAGGAACACATGTTTCAAGTGTAAAGGAACTAGAACAAGAGGCAACATGCCCAAAAAATAGGAAGACGGAAGACACGGAAAGGAAAAGAGGAGGGTGCAAGAGGGCTCAGCTGGTGAGAGTCCAGCTCCGTTCTAACACCAAAGGACGGAAAAAGAAAATAAAGTTGCATCTCTAAGGTTTCAAAGTAAGCATGGAACTTGGAAGCATCAGTGGCAAAATGATAGACGATACAGGATCGACCATTACTTTTTACCCTGGGAAGTGGGAATAAGTCAGGAATGGAAAAGAACAATAACATAATAAACGACAAGAAATTATTATTAGTTGGCAGAAACAAAATTAAATCTGAGATTAGGATACCGTATTCAACAATCCAGAGAGCATTCCTTTCAATACTACTGTCAAATTGCCAATGACTACAAATACCAAGGACTCCAAGATTCTCACCGTCCCCTAATTTCAGGGCAAAATTTCTACCAATTCCACCGCGTCAAATCCACTTGTTTCTTTTCAATGTGGGTACGCGTGAGAGAGAGAGAGAGAGAGGGTCTCGTATTCTTCTTGTTTGCAGGTCCTTAAACGCAGTGGACGTCGAGTTCCGATACCTCGTGCAGCGAGGAACCAAAAGGCTATGAAATTGTGAGTAATCACAAAATAACACTTCCTATTGGAGATGCCGATATCCCACCAGTAATTTGAATCAGCGTAGTCAAGCAAAGACAATGCTCACTAGGCACCCATCCTACCAATTTCCCATCAACTCTCGCGTGCTTTTATTCTCCAATCAAATGACAGTCCAAAGCGCCCACTACGAACCAGGCTGCAGGCACATTCTATGACCACACTACTGGAGACGCAACATCCACGTCTTTTTTTTCTTTTGGATGTAAGAGTTGTTCATCCAAGCAAAGCAAAATCTTAGTAAGATGCGTATCAATCAACACCAACCAAACTAAGATGTAGTTTCCTTGCCCAAAGCTTCCATCTAATACCCATCAGAGATTTCATCAGAATTCATGGGGTTTTGATTGGTCAATAATCAGATTTTACTATTTTACCTATCTCTATGCCTGAAAACAAAACAAGTTTAACCATACCTTTCAACAGTTCCAAAATAACTTAATGGTAAAATCAAATAGGGTAGGCCACTCGGTGGTTGCCTCCTAATGTACCGTAAGTTCTTGGGTTTACATCAACCTTAACCCTTTTATCCCACTCCCTACGTGTATTATCTTTAGGCTCCGTTTGGGAAGAGTGGAAATAAAATATGTTCGGTATCAATACAAATTAATAATAAGAATGTAAAGTTAGTTTAATTTTGCAAAAAGATAGTTTTGTAGTCACAACAAACAAATTTAAGTTGTGATGGGTATGAATAAGAATTCCAAGTTGGGCAACTTCGTTTACCACTGGTTTGAATGCAAACCTTTTTTTTTTTTTTAATTCATGATTGTTATCATTGTCATTGCACAAATCCATTATTATTACATGCCTACAAAACTGAACCAGAGTGCACAAATGCGTCAAACCAGCGTTTGAACTCTTCCATAACCTTACATTTTAATAGATGATAAAAAATCTGCTGTGACTTGATGGTACTGTCATGATTTCCAAACCATCATTAACCCAAACCCAAATGGTTGGACCGTTCACCCAGATACCATCAGAGCAACTGGTTCCATTTCACTCCTAAACCGTTCCTTTTTGCCAACCAATTCAACCCAAACAATGGCTTTTAGTCATTTTTGTATTTTTTTCTAAATTGCTACATGCCATCTGTTCAGACCAGACAATCACACCACTAACCCAAAAACCGGTGGCCAAGGTGATTCTCGTTTTAGGTTGGTTTTTAAAACATTTTGACCTATATATTAACAACATATAATGATATGAAAAATAAAAACACAAAATTAGCACCCAAACAATAGCTTTTAGTCATTTTTGTATTTTTTTCTAAATTGCTACATGCCATCTGTTCAGACCAGACAATCACACCACTAACCCAAAAACCGGTGGCCAAAGTGGTTCTCGTTTTGGGTTGGTTTTTAAAACATTTTGACCTATGTATTAACAACATATAAAGATATGAAAAATAAAAATACAAAATTAGTTTATGCCCAGTTGGTCACACCTAGACCTGTTCATGGGCCGGGTCGGGCTCGGGCCGGGCTTTTACTCTTCATAAACAAGATTTTGTTAGGCCCGAGCCCGGCCCGACCAACGGGCCTACAACTTGGGCCCGAGCCCAACTCTAATAAAAAGCCTGAAGCCCGAGCCCGAAGCCCGACCTAACAAAAAGATAGATCGGAGTTTGTGTCTATATTCGCTACCGGTACCTGTGTCTGTGTCTGTGTTCGCCGCCGACCAAACAATAAGAGACAAAAGGGCAAAGAGAAAGGACTTGTTGCCGGTGCCTGAGTTCACGTCTGATAAATGAACTGAGCTGAGATTCTGAGAGTGAGGAGGAGAAATGAGAAGAGGAACAACCGAACAATGAAAAGAGAGAGAGAGAAAGAGAGGATTCACAGCTAGTGCCTGAGTTTGCGTGACT